CGATGAGATGTAGTGATCTGTAATCAGAGAATACACATATATTTTATTCCTGGTGATTCTCTTTCAAATTTCTGTAAATGTTCTCAGAAATTAATTATGCTGAATACACTTTTTTTCAAATCTTTACAGTAAGTTAATATATGAAGGAAGTTGAGGTCTTCCTCAGCGCATTCAGTAATAGAGATCTTACGTATCTGGTAACTTGAAGAATGAATGAGATTCCTCTTTCTGTGTCATAGCAAGCAGCTAATGAAGTAAGTTAGTTGGTCTTTCCATATTTACTTTTAACTAATGAACATCTAACACTCCTTGTCAGAGGTACATAGATTAACGAGACTAAATGATTTGCTTCGTTTTATAGCTTTAATTCTAAGGGTGGATAACAAGTATCAGGATGATGTCAATTAGGTAAACATTCTCGTCTTAATCGACGGATATGTCGTCCGCATATCTCTGTACAAATTAAATCGTTTGATGGCCAAACTAATTTGTTTGAGAGATAGTACCATAAATATTGTTTCATTTCACCAAATGTTACTACATTCAAAAGCAGAAACAATTAAGATTTTAACCAAAAATTTCGTCAAGACCCTCGAATTAGACGGAAGTAATTTCATAACTATTTTTCTCTTTTACATTTTATTTTAAAAACAAACCAATTACAGTGTAAGTGACCAAAAATCTTCGATACTTTGTCGCCAGAAACAAATCAACAAGCGAATTTATTAATTAAGTGAGACTTTTCCTTGAAATTATTGATAAATGAGATTTATATCCAGTTACCTAAAGTTACAGTCATCTGTATGAATAACAAGCAACCACAAAGAGAGAGAAAAAAACTTGGCGATAAGAAGTAGACTTTCGGTTATATCACTTTATTGCCAAAGGGTTTCAGAGATTGTTGAATATTATTCAGATTACGAACCAATACGTAATAGAAAACCACTGAAAACCTGGAAGTTCAGTACAGTTAACTCATCTTAGCACGTAACCCTTCAGCATTGTGTATCCAAAGACTTGTTACTGATGATTGAACAAAGAAATATAACTCACACGAGCGAATGATAGACATCTAGATAACAGAGTTGCGAAACAAGGCTACAAAGATTTCAATGCTTGTTTAGATTAGATCCATTCATGATCTTAGGTTAACTATAAACAATTTTGTGTTTTAAATAACAAAGAAATATGTGATCTTTTTAAGTTGTAACGAGATGAAACGTATGGAGATAAACTATTTAAAGACATATTGAACTGATTACAAAAAATAGCCTCGACAGGGTGACAATAATATAAATGATCGATAGTTAACCAGGTCGATTCTTCTCAAATTATGAAAATTTTGGGAGGCTTCCTCTAACTTGACTTGTTTTCGATCTCTTCTATTCTAAACTTTCTTCATCTTCTATTCCATCTAAGCATCGCGTACAACTTTGTGAATAAATTTCCAATTTGTCAACAGAGAACAATCGGTTGAACTCACTGAAGACCAAAAACAATACAATATGTGTTTGAAATTCTTAAACCAAGATGATTCACCTCGACGGGAACACATGTACGTACTCATATAAGTAATCAGTCCACCTTTTTATTGCTAGCAGGAAATATATTCCAAATGTACATAGTAACCACTTGTTGAAATATGCAACCAGTACTCCGTTTCCTCTGACCACATTAAAAAAATGAAACTGACTTCCTGTCTACCAAGTCCACTTGTTTGATTGTTTTGTTGTTAAAAACATTTGGAATGCTCAAAATAAACTCAGTGTCATTGTCTGGACATAACAACGACATCGGTTTATTTCAATGTTATCTAATGTAACGAACGGTAACATATTGATAAGTATCCCAACCTCTATGCCTATCAGACCACACAAACATTAGCTCTATAGTTTCCATTTTCAAAGAAAAAGCATGATACCATTCCTTTCAACTGTATCCGAAGTTGTATTTCAAACATAAGTCCGTAGAAATTATATTATATTTAGTTTCCGAAGACTTCAGTATGAGACCAGTGTAGCTTATTAAAGTAAGTACAATGTTTCATACACTATATATATTTCTTTTCGTTGAAATATAATACATTCTACAAATTATTTTCCTCCTCCGAATCGAGTCTTCGTTCACAAGATCTTTTCTCATCAATTTATCCATAACTAACAGTGCAACCTCACTTAACCAAGATGATTTATACCTGAAAGGACAAAATAGTCTGTTGTTTTTTAACAGCACCAAATATTAAGTTCTAAATTTCCTCAATAATATGAAATGTGTAGGTTGAGAAAGTAAGTGTTATGTTCACACCCACACAAATACTTTGAAATATATTCCATATGCTAATTTTATTTAGCAGTCGTTGAAACATTGTCTATGTGTATGGACGTTTTTTGGTGAGAAAACTAACCTATCTGTCCTATTGTTTGTTTCGATGTGATTCACTTTCATAGTTTTTATTAGTACAGTTTAGTAAGGTTCATGCATAAATAAACATTGTATTTTGGTGCATACACATACAAAACTATACTATCAATGTTATCTTCATCATTTGCTAATTCATTTATCAACATAACAATGGCATTCGTTAAATTTCGTATCTTAAAGAGTACAAAAAATAAAAATGTACTAACTAACTATAAGTTGATGCTTACAAATATCTGAATGTTCACTGGAAATCATCATTGACATTGTGCATCTTCTAATGAATTATCACGTCACATAAATGCCTAATTACACAAACTTCTGATTCATATGAGTTACGTTTTGATACAACGGTGCAATCAGAGACAAAGCAATTGCAGACATGAAAGTGATCGTAAATTGATGAGTTGATAATGAGACAATTCGCTATTAGTAATAGTAAAAATTTGAAGTCAAACTATCCTGTAAGCAATTATCCCGAAAAATTCATATGAAAATTTTTATGAAATTTGTTCTCTGAGCTGGACTGTTCGGGCGGGGAGCTTTCATCGTTCTACTGAACGACATCTTCAGAACGAAATTCACTTCTTCCTGAAGTTTGTGCTGATGAGGTCGTTCAGAAGAACGATGAAAGCTCCACGCCCAAACAGTATAGCTCAGAGAAAAAATAACATGAAAATAATCCACCTCAGCTACAAATGTTTTTTATCAACTCAAAATTCAGAAGAATATGCTTTTAAAAGAATATTCTGACGAAACGGAACTATCACAAAATGAGTTTCACGGAGAACGTCATCTTCGAAGAGAATAACATCAGTTTGTAAAAATAGAGGACAATACTGAATGTAACCAATAGTTTTGATTATGAAGAGGTTAAATGCTCAAAATACACCATGAAACTAACCGAAAATTTAATAGACAGTATACCATATGCTGTAAAAATATCCTTACAATCGTTAAACTTATCGGACTGTTAGTTTAACATCTGAAGGAAAACAAATCGGAAAGACAGTCAATGACAAGTTGAACGATATCTAATAAAAACAAAACTGTTATTCAGTTCAAAATGTTTCTAATTACAATGGTACGAATAAGAGATACGTTTGAGAAAACAGAACTGATCTATACATGGGTGAATGAATTACCAATCCAGTTTAAAATCTATGCATTTGATCATTGATCTACCTTGATTTGCAATAAGTTAGCATTGAGACTTACTCTGTCTACTCTTTAAACTACTCAATCATGAAGTGTCAAGCATTGGACAGTGTAGAATAACAGAGAAGCTTACTCTCGTCGAAATTAATTAAATTCAACTCACCGACGTTTATCCACTTGAATGTTGTCATTTTTAGTTCAATAACATCATTGTCAAACACTCGTCATAAACAATATCTTGACTAGAAAATGTTTCGATAGAACTTTATCATTTAGTAACTAAATAAATAGATAGTAGGCGTTCTCTCTGTGCTCATGGACCAACCATCTATTCTGATAGTACCAAACTAGACAAATAGATTAATTTCATGAAATATATCACACTCAAAGGAAAATCCAAAATCCTATACTGTTTCGGTCGACAAAGGTAAACAGTAAAATCTTCGTTTTCGAGTGAGAATTTTGTGGAAATTTGGAATATCAGAAGTATTGTTAAGTTGTCTACATAAGTCTTCTGTTATTCAATGACCCTTACAGAATTCACTGAAATCACATCCGATCACTTACTGACATAGTCAAATTAGAATACTATTATTATTAATAATATGATTATTGAACTCAACACTTCATATCAACCATATTGGAAAATGGAATTCCTAGCCAACTCATCAACCAGTTGTTTGGAGATAGAATACCTCCCGACAACGTTAGTAGGCTACCAGAACAGAAAACATGTCCGTTGGCTTGTATTAAATCAGAGATTAATATTTCTTCAGTTGATCATCGATATTTGAATTTTGAAGTGAATTCCATGTTCCATCATTCACAGCGTTACATTCGACTGGATTGAAAGTTAACTGTGGCCTCGCACTCAACACACGATTCATTCTACAACACAATACTGTTCTATTTACTGGTAAAATATCGGTTAATGGTGTGATGCGAATCTCACATTTCACAGATAAACAAGTTTAAATAAACCCCAATTAACTTCGCTTTCAGAGGTTGCTCAATGGTTGTACAATGGATTTAATATTTTACTGAAAATTTCAGATAGAAAGGTAATTTGTTGAAAGTTCCAGGAATACATCCATTAACATGTTGATCAGATAGATTAGAAGTGATGTAATCTAATGTATTCTGGAATGCATTGTACCGAAAACGAATAGCCTAGTTGCAATAAAAATCATATGTTTTAACTACTTAAATGGTACAAGTAGCTCAACTATTCTGATTTAATTTCTCATATGAAGATGGATCAGCTACGAAGCTTGATCTCCATCATCAGTCAGTCATGTGGAGAGAACGAATAAAACTGATTTGTTCATGCATATCAGTAATTCCATAAAGATATACAGCAGTACACTCAAAGATATGTAAAAATCGAATACGATCAATGACGAAATTCAAGATGTCTCACTACTGACCAATGGGACTGGGAGATCATTATTCAGAAAGATGAACGAAATGACAAAAAATTGGAGGAAGTAGTTGAGAAGATATATGACTCTATGAAAGTAACTGAGAACATTTTGATATCGGCATACCCAGTGTTAAATCGCAAGTTACCGGAAAATATTAAATTCATTACAACACAAGAATTAGAAGATATCTACCCCGACAAAAAACCGGCAGAACGTGAATATCTTGCAGTTAAACAATATGGTGCTGTTTTTCTCAAACAGATCGGAAAGCTTCTGAAATCCAATACGATACACGACAATCGAGCCCCAGACTATGATGACTGGGAATTGAATGGAGATATACTAGTGTATAGTGAACACGACGATAGATGTATAGAATTGTCATCAATGGGTATCCGAGTGGATGAGTTGTCAATGGAGAGACAGTTGAAAGAAAGTGGTTGTGAAGCACGTAAACAGCTTGAATATCATCAAAATGTTCTGAATGGTATATATCCATTAACGATAGGTGGTGGAATAGGACAGAGTCGATTGTGTATGTTCCTTATGGAGAAGAAACATATTGGTGAAGTGCAAGTTAGTATATGGCCTGAACACGTTCGTCGTGAATGTGAACAGAATAATATATTTCTCCTATAAACTGAACGAAATCATTTTCTCTCAGCTTTATTGCTGAAAAGAATGTAAAGTGCATGAATATTAATTGTATGTATGTTTTCATAAATGTTGTTCTTTCAATGTTTGTGTGATTTTGACTTTCTTGTGTTCTCGACTATGATAATGGCGAAATAGATACTGTTTCAGCTAATCGTTAAATGAATGAATAGAGTTTCCACGTAGTTTGATTGTGTGCAGGATGCTTTTCAATGTTGAAGTTGTTAATTTCGATGATCAGCTCTACAGATCGATCTTTATGAAATGTAGATTTCCGTATATGATGAAGAACTTTTTCCCATCTCTTACTAATGATCAACAAGTTCAAAACTCCAAAGCTAGCCTGTTTGGATTGAAGTCATCCAACGAATTATGTTAGACCACCATGGAAAACCTAGATGCACTGAACGGGCGTTTCTCCCTCTTGTAGGACTCTTCTGCAGTGCGCATACATGATCCCGCTCGCGGGATTCCAACCCAGATTCATAGGTCTCGCACGTAAACGAGAAGCTTTCAACGCTGTTTATGTCTAACCTCAAAAAATCCATGAAATGTCGCGACCATCGTCCATTGTACTCAAGTGTTGTAGTGGATTGACACTATTCTCAATATTTTCTATGGTTGGTTCCGAGCTGTGGTTGATAGAGACAGGTTTCCTGTGGATATTGACAGCATCTGACTAATTCGGTCTGTCGATTGTGGCTAGCTGATTACTGCTAAGTGACGATGTAGTGTGTGGAATTGCAAGGTGGAAATCGATTATATTTCTCATTCTCTCCGTTGTACCAATGGGTTGGTAGTATTCTCACTTATATTTGTAGACATCCAAGTTTCCTCGATTCAACCAACCTCCTTATTCATGCTAATGACAGTTGGATGAGAAAGTTGCAAAGTGTGTAGTGCTTCGGTTCGACTGATCACATTTTACCAAATTATAACAAGGGATAATCGAAACTCTTACCATCCATGAGCTGAAGCCAGAACTATGCGTACAAAATAGTACATCTTATCGTTACCTTGGCCTTTATTATTATTATCATTATTATTTTTATTACTGCATTTCTCCCCTTACATGTGCCCAAATCCTCATTAGTTTATTCATAATTGATCATGACATCACTTTATTTACTTTTTACACAGCCATGACCTTTGATGACCTTTAGTTATTGAAACATTTGAATCATCCTACTACATTCAAGTTATAACTCGTTACTAACTTATTAAGTCGATTGTTATTATTTTTGTTACGTAATCTAGTATTAAAATCTTTCCATTACATCATCATGGTTATTCCATGTTCACATTTTCTCATGGAACTAGTAGTTTAACAAAAAAAATTGTTTCTTTACTTATATCTAGTGACAATCACATATTTTAAGACAAAATAAATGGTCAGTACAGTAGATAACAGAATAAATATTTTCAGACCTAATGACAGTTACATGACCAGACCTACACACAGATAAATTGATGTACTGACTTTAATGTTTATTGGCTAAAAGTTTGATATTGAATAAAATGAAAGATGATAAATTGAGAGGTAGTTTGAATGAATTGTGTGTATACAATCCAGTTTTCTCATCATCCGAATGACGTAAAGATGCCACGAGTATTCGGGATTCGACCCTAAGACGTGACCAGTCAGAAGTTTAATCTCAACGAGTTTGTCGTTGGTAAACACCCTTCTGATAGCTAGACCACCAAGGAAAACCTGGAAGAACTGGACGGCCGTTTCGTCCTAGTGTGGGACTCCTCAGCAGTGCGCATCCACGATCCCGCACTCCGCGAGATTCGGATCTAGGACCTATCAATCTCACGCCAGGCGCTTAACCAACTCGACCTCTGGGCCGGCATCGAATAGTGACTGACTTTGAGAGATACTCCTGGAGTTCTAGTGAGAAGCCGTTACCAGTGGAGTCCGACCAGGTCTGTTGTGAGATATCAGCTCACTGAAGACAATGGTGTACGGTGGCGCAACTTCGTGGATTGGTTGAAGTTAGACATTAACACCACCGGATGCTTGCTCAGCGGTCTAGTTGGTTAAGCACCTGGCGCGAGAATGGTAGGTCCTGGGTTCGAATCTCGCGGAGTGCGGGATCGTGGATGCGCGCTGCTGAGGATTACCACACTGGGACGAAACGGTCGTCCAGTGCTCCCAGGCTTTCCATGGTGGTCTACCTTCAATTGATTTATGACTCCAGTCTGTGAAACTTCTAAAATCTCCACAAAACCCCTTCCTACTTTGATTCACTTATGAGAAAATTAAACAATCCACCTAATTAATACACAATATATTCCTAGTCGACGTTCGGTTATGATTTTATGGTGTTGTGAATTTTTAGGATAGAAACAATTGATCACTTTCAACACATTGGCTTCTAATATACATGCTTCTATACGACTTAGTTACACTGATAATATTCGATAAGGAACAGCATTGTTACTCATTAGTCTAGTCGAGACTCCTCAGCTAGATGAACATGGATCTCGACGCAGTTGTGATATTCGTAGTGCGACTTTACATTGGAATCTATTGGTTTGTTGGTAAAACAGACGTAGCAGTTACTTATGCCAGTTGCCACGCCTCATTGTGAAAACGAGTCGATAAAAAATCCTGAATCTACTGTTTCTATTTGTTATCACTCAATATAAAAACATCACAATTCAAAGCATCCACTCAATACATGTAGTGTTATGCGCAAGTGAATTTAGTGTAGTAGTGATATATAGACAATAACTCACTAACACAATCAAATTACGTGGAAACTCTATTCATTCATTTAACGATTAGCTGAAACAGTATCTATTTCGCCATTATCATAGTCGAGAACACAAGAAAGTCAAAATCACACAAACATTGAAAGAACAACATTTATGAAAACATACATACAATTAATATTCATGCACTTTACATTCTTTTCAGCAATAAAGCTGAGAGAAAATGATTTCGTTCAGTTTATAGGAGAAATATATTATTCTGTTCACATTCACGACGAACGTGTTCAGGCCATATACTAACTTGCACTTCACCAATATGTTTCTTCTCCATAAGGAACATACACAATCGACTCTGTCCTATTCCACCACCTATCGTTAATGGATATATACCATTCAGAACATTTTGATGATATTCAAGCTGTTTACGTGCTTCACAACCACTTTCTTTCAACTGTCTCTCCATTGACAACTCATCCACTCGGATACCCATTGATGACAATTCTATACATCTATCGTCGTGTTCACTATACACTAGTATATCTCCATTCAATTCCCAGTCATCATAGTCTGGGGCTCGATTGTCGTGTATCGTATTGGATTTCAGAAGCTTTCCGATCTGTTTGAGAAAAACAGCACCATATTGTTTAACTGCAAGATATTCACGTTCTGCCGGTTTTTTGTCGGGGTAGATATCTTCTAATTCTTGTGTTGTAATGAATTTAATATTTTCCGGTAACTTGCGATTTAACACTGGGTATGCCGATATCAAAATGTTCTCAGTTACTTTCATAGAGTCATATATCTTCTCAACTACTTCCTCCAATTTTTTGTCATTTCGTTCATCTTTCTGAATAATGATCTCCCAGTCCCATTGGTCTACATAATATGAGTGCAGTGGAGAGATAACTTCATCACGTCTAATCGCATTCATATCTGTGTAAATTCCATCGTATTGATTTAGTTTATATTTGTGTAATGCCATACGTTTCCATTTGGCCAAGGATTGATTAATCAATGCTGTCTCACCAGATTTAACATCGAACTTAATTGCACGTTCTACACCGGATAAATCATCTTGTAATCCACTGTTGGCCGGTACAAATAGTGGGGCAGATACACGTAACAAATTTAGTTTCGCTGACAATTGTTTCTGGAAACAATTCCTAATAAACTTGATTGCTTCTTGTGTTTTCTCAACATCCAGTTTTGACTGATACTTTGACATTACAGTGATCAGTTGTGAAAGCAGCGGTTAGGTGATCAACTAAAAACGTAAATCCCAGTAAAAACATTAAAATTCAAATAATGATCTCGTCGAAAATTCAAAAGAGAAGTAAGATCTTACTGGACTGAAATATGCTATACATGTATACATGTACAGAGTAGAAGGATACTACAAGTTAACGCATTATGTAACAATAATCTCATACGTTTATACACATGCGCCATTCAATCAGTAATTTGTTCACTGTCTAGACAAGACAAATGGATTTAGATATTTAAGGGAGACTGGTTGAATTGATTATACGGTAGCACTGACTGAAATGATTCTGATAAATGAGGTGTGAATCCCTCCCCATCACTGACCTCGACTTGCAATTGTAAATAAAATCAATTTAAAAGATCATAGAATTTAGGTCATCAGCTCTAGCAAATTAGGCCAACTGTTTACAGTAACCGACTAAGTAAAAACCATTTGTCAGAGAATTTACCCGAAATAATATAAAAACAACCTTAGTGTCCTCCACAACTTCACTATACATTTCTCATTGTTTATTCTTATTAAGGCCACATAATAAACAAAATGGTACAATACATGTAGTGAATTATAGTATAATCACAATTAAAATATTATTTTATTCAACTAACTACTGTTCAGAAGTGATTTATATAAAGGCACTGGAAATTTAAATTTGGAATATTCAAACACGAAAATTATCCCAAATAAGTACAATGGGCAATCAATACAGCCGTAACTTACTTCATCAAAAATAATTGTCTGACCCTAAGTGCATTGTTTTTTACTTATATTCAGTGATAATCATATATTTTAAAACAAAATTTCATCAGCTTAATAATGATTGGTCAGTACAGTAGATAACAGAATAAATATTTTCAGACCTAATGACAGTTACATGACCAGACCTACACACAGATAAATTGATGTACTGACTTTAATGTTTATTGGCTAAAAGTTTGATATTGAATAAAATGAAAGATGATAAATTGAGAGGTAGTTTGAATGAATTGTGTGTATACAATCCAGTTTTCTCATCATCCGAGTGACGTAAAGATGCCACGAGTATTCGGGATTCGACCCTAAGACGTGACCAGTCAGAAGTTTAATCTCAACGAGTTTGTCGTTG